AAAACTCCTTAGGAATCTGGAGTCAGAGGTCAGGCACACAAGTCAGGCCTCTTTCTCCAGGCCATCAGCATTCAGAGAGCGATAAAGAAAGTATTTGGATGGGGAATGACACACAAAACTCACTTTAAATCACATGGAGAGTAAGACGTGCGTGAGTCCACAAACAATAGCTAGGGGAAAAGAATAAGAAATTTAAATTATTAAAAAAATGAAATATAAAAAAATGAAATATATATATACTGTATATATATATATAATAAGCACTGTAGTCATTAAATATTTGCATGCCAATATTTAAAGTTCTTTTGAATTAATCCTATATCATTACATGTGATGTTATGGTGCCTTGGAAGTCTGTCTGAAACCAGGAGTTATCAAAACGCTACCTGTTAAGTCACTGACATTCAGTTTGAGACACAGCCAATGCAAAAGAGCATGTACTCAACAGAAACACCTCAAGCCCTAAACCAGCCTGAACAACAGCCTTCCTCCGGTACAATAGCCTGGAGATATGAACCACACACTGAGAGAGGGGGACATCTGACCTCTGACCTCTGACATGGAATCTGGGCAAGTCAAATCCTGTCGAGAGGGTCGGGAAGCAGTGCACATGCAGGACAAAACATACTAGAAAACCAGCAAAAGCTTAGAAATATGCAAGGTGTCTTACCTCACTATAATGAAACGGAAATTTTGATATATTTCAAACTGATATTATAGAATGTAAAACAGAATATTTTAATATGATATGATTTAGCTTAGGCCACACCCCCTGCAATAACAGCGGGAAGCACTGTGTATGAGGTTTGATCACATCACTAAAACACTAACTATGAGCAATAGTATTAGTGATAAACAACAGCAAGAACTGTTAAAGAACAGCATTAGTTCTGAAGTGTATTGTTTCTGAGTGTCTTCAGAGTCCATAAAGTATGAAGACATCATGAAATATATACAAATATCTATAGAAGATCTACAATATCTACAAAAAACTACAAATATAAACTACATTTTTAGTAACTGGCAAAAGCTTACAAATATTTGGATCCTACCTCGATTAAAAAAAAAAGATAATTATATATATATATATATATATATATATATATATGTTTACTTTATAAACCAATGTAGAATTACGTGCACAATAGCTAACATTCAAAAGCTACATTTGTCATTGTGGATGTGTACAGCAAATACATTTTGGGACGACGATAACATGACAGAATAACCACACCTGATTGTAGCACAATTCAACAGTTTACGCTGGTTGGCATGCAAAGACACTACACAAAGATTGTAATAGTTCATTGCAGTAGAGCCGTCGGAAAGGAAAGATATTGATTGTTCTGTTTCCAGAGAGTAGCTACTTGAGCAGAATTGCACTTAAAGTGCACATCCGCTCCTCATGAACATATCTCCTGCTTTGGGTATATATATATCCACAACAATAAACCAGATTTTTAGCATTTCTGGCAAAAGCGTGCATAAGGGTCCTGAAAAATCAGCAAAAGCTTAGAAGTATGGAAGATATCTTACCTCACTCTAATGAAATATATATTGGAAATATATACAAATATCTAACATAGAAAATCATAACATGAAAAATAAACTATTTTTTATCATCACTGGCAAAAGGGGACATAAGGCCCCCCAAAAATCAGCAAAAGCTTAGAAATGTGCAAAAAAATATGGGCAAAAATATATGCAAATATTTCTCATGGAAGATATTTGCAAATATGTATAATTTCTAGCAAAACGAAACATGAGTGACAGCAATCTGCAAACCCCTAGAAATATGCACAATATCTTACCTCGCTATAATGAAAAAATATTAGAAATATTTACAAAAATAAACTAGATTTTTACCATTTCTGAAGAAACGTGCAAAACTCACCATGATGTTCAAGTACTGATTGCACTGCATCGTTATAGGTATTTTTCTCTTCTTTTTCTTCTTCTTTTTAATACATTTTAAATCTTTTTTTATGTAGAGCACTTTGAATTACCATTATGTATAAAATAATGTGCTATATATATATATATATTCTGGGGCGTCACTATGGGGTTGCTAAGGTGTTCTTAGTGCTTTTAATCGAGTTGCTATGCAGTTGCTAGGGTGATGACTTAGTAAACACCACTACTAAGAAATCTCCATCAATTGGAAAGCTTCACACACTCCAATAACTCATCAGCTGAGGAAAATCAATGCAGAAAATGCCCAGCCGAGCTAATGAATGAGCCTGCTTTAATTAAAGAGTGAGCATTAGAGGCCGTAACCCTTAGACCCTCACACTAAATATCACGAATGACGCACGCCGGAGGGAAAAACAAGCAAGAAACATCATGTACAACACACTCAATGGCATCTGTAACATGACATCCATTACCACAGAAACTAATTTAGTTTCACAGTTTACAGTGGAAGGACATAGGGTTCAAAAAGAGAATCATGAATCATGTGAAAGGTACCAGCTTTACTTGCTTTAATGGTCGTCATTGTAAGAGAGAGAGTGTGTGTGTGTGTGTGTGTGTGTGTGTGTTGGGGGGCTTTGTATGAGGGGCTTTGATGTGAACCTCGTCCCACATTCTGTCCCCCTAAGGTCATAAAACACACTGTAAAGCTCCCGACAACAGCTCCTCTTTCTCTCTGCTCCTCTTTTCACCTCCCCTGGACTGATAAAGCATAACTCTCCTGAGAGGCGTCCACAACTCTAATGAATAGAGTTTAGCTCCTTCACATCTCTCTGAATACAGCACCAAAACAAACTAAAGTACATCCACAGTAACTGCACATTTCAACTCATTTCTGTTTGTAAAAACAAACAACAGTCTGTCTGGCTTAATTCTAGTACCATAGCAAGGAAAATTCACTATTATATCTTAATCTACACTACAAAAAAAAGTTTTTTGTTTTTTTTCTTTCAGTATTTTTGTCGTGTTTTACAATACAATTACCTAAACATTCTAAAATCAAAATTATTTTAATTGAGATGCAAAATGACGAGATATTAAGTCTTGTTTTCGAAAAAAAAGCATCAAAATGAAGTGAGTTTGTGCTTAAAACAAGATAAAATATCTTTCAATGGGGTCAGAAAAAAAGGGAAAACAAGATTATTTTCCTGACCCCATTTTTTCTTGTTTTAAGCATAAACTCAGTTAACTTTGCTCATATTTTTAGAAAACAAACTTAAAATCTTACGTCATTTTGCATTTCAAGTAAGCACATCTTGATTTAAGAATGGTTAGGTGTTTGTAATGGAAAACAGACATACATAGTAAGATTTTTTTTGCTGTCTATTTTTGATTTAATGAAGTTCTGCTATGTTTCATTTAATTGTCAACTTTGTCTCAGATGTTTCTCCTAAAAACAGACCCAAATGAGTCAATAGTTGTCATCCAGTAAGAGTACAGAGCTATAAAATGTGAAGCAGCTCAGATCATCTGATGAGACTGGTGTCTTAGCAAATCTGAGATCTTTATTAAAACACTAAAGGAGACACGTGTGAGATTACTGTTTTTGTTTTCTGAAATTCTTCAGCAAAAGTCTCTATTTGTTCTCCATCTAACCTCAGTGCAGTCTAGGTGAAGCAATCGAGATATTTGGTCACCCACATTAAACTAAATTCCAATCAGCAGATGACAATGATCTCATGTAATACTTGTGCAAATATTGTGTCCAGTGCATTCTATCAGCTGCCGACCAGCTGGCTGACTTCTCTATGGCCACAGATGGCCACTGGTCAAGCAAAGCATTGTGGGACAGCATTCATGACCACCACTGAACAACAGGCCCAGATGAGAGTGACCTTTAGGGGCACGAAAGGGCGAGCACACCACAAACCTGCAACGCCCTCCTCCAGAGACTCATTGGAAGACCAGCGTTGCCCAGCACTGAGGCAGCGGGCTGGCAGGGTCAGAGGTCACAGGGGGATGGTCACTGGGAGTTTAGGGAGGAGAGCCACAAATCTACATATCTGAAAAACACTTGAAAGCTTTTGTTCTTGGCAAACCACTGGCCTGGTAATTTAGAGACTCAGGATGAAGCAATGAACAGAATTAAGAAAGAATAATCAATAAACAACGTGAGAACATGCATCAGGCAGATGAGATGAGTCTGTGAGCGTGTGGCATCGCATCTTGCTGTTTTCAGCATGAATCTCGCACTTTTAAGACAAAAGTGTGACAAACTACAACAAGTTAAACTGATATCAAGATGCCAGTGTTGTGCAAAATTCAGAACTGAAGAACCGGCTCTCTTTGAATTCATGAGCGGGAAATTTGAACTGATTTAGCACCGACACACACGGAAGTTGAATTAAATTGACAAGAAAAGGAAATTACTGAATTGCAATTTAAATCAATTCAACACAGGTGATGCATTCTGGGAAATTAAGTGTTTTTCCACCCTCATTCACTCATTCATTTGCCTCAATAAACTCCTAATTTGCTGCTTATTAATAGTAAGGTAGTTGGTTTAGGTATTGGGTAGAATTAGGGATGTAGAATATGTTCATGCAGAATATGTGCTTTATGAGTACTAATAAACAGCCGATATGTTAATAATAGGCATGCTAATATACAACAAGTTAATAGTGAGAACTGGTCCCTATATTAAGGTGTTACCAAACCTTCACATTTTTAAACTTTTTTCAAATCTTTCAAGGAAGCCTGAATTAAAATTGTACAAATTTCTTTGAATTTCAGTTCATTATAATTCTACTTTTTACTATATGTAAATTCAAATTGCAATTCTGCATCCTCAATTCAAATTAAATTCAAATTCTGACATTCTGAAAAGTGCACAATTCTGCTCCATTCAGTGTTGAACACTGGACTGAAAGTTGCATGTACAGTGTTTAGAGAAGCTAACGTCCCTCTCTAACCAATCAAGACTCCCAAACTGCCACTATAACAAACCAAGAGAGTTCAAAAAGAGGCTCTATTTTGGCACGTCTGCCCACAGCTGCTGAATATGAATTTTTAAAGTCACTAGCACTCACCCAGGCCTCCAATGGTGTGCTGGCGGAGGTGAGGGGGAATCTGGGTCGGCGGTCCTACTGGTTCACTCTCTTCATGGTAGGAAAGTTTGTAGCCCTGCAGTCCAGTGGCGCTTCCCGCTGGGAGATGCCAACGCAAAACCACAGTTGTGCAGTTCAGAGACTCCAGCTGCAGCTCTGGTGCCAGGGGCACTGTGGGAGAAAATACACAGCCAATCAGAAATGCATCTTCGCATTATCAGCCAATCACAGATCTCATGCATGAACAAGTAAAGTTATGTTAAGAGGATGTATGTTGAGTTGAGAAAGTCATTAAAACCGCTTTCTCTTTTCAGACTACAAAACGCTGTAATTTCAGACTGCACGGTTTAAATCCGATAGGAAGAACAAAACACAAATTTCAAAGCACAGACCCCAGCAGCCCTATAACCTCAGGAGAACAAATCTTCAAGATTTATCAGCCACAACTGCTGCTATGAATCTCCCTCATCCAGACGAGACGGGACCCCACAGGAACGCCGCCGGGGTTAAATCAATCCCAGCTTAATTAAACACACTCCCGCAGAGTTTCCTGTGGTTCTGCTGTATCTTCTTAGGCGTTAAATTAACCACAGTAATCTAACAGAGAGGGTTCCTGTAGATCACAGGTGACAGAGTTTGATATGTGAGCTGAGGCTTACGGTGGGACTCTGAAAAATTGAGGATCTTTAGAGGCCTGCGGCTCTCGCTTTATAACCCATGACTAAAACCTTTCCAATGTGGATGAGAAGAAGGGTCAGAGGTCATGCAGGAACAAATGCAATGCATTAACAAGATTATCAGCCCGAAGCAATGAGAAAGAGAGGGGGATTCACACTAATCTTTTCAAAGCATGTCTGCTGAAGGTTTTACAGTACTTACAGACAGCAGAAGATTCACATGTAAACAGACCAAATAATCAACACCAACATGGATTAGACAATCTATAGTACGTTACTAGAATGATAGAACAACAGATATATAGATAGATAGATAGATAGATGTTCCACCTTTAGTGCTGGAAGCCTTCGGTGTTCTGTGGGACGTCCAGGCCGATGGTTCTCCCCATCCCACGCTGGTCGCTGCAGCGATGCGGAGCAGATACGTGGTGTCTGGCTGAAGACCCTCCAGGAGGTGATGGGTTTTGTGTCCTGAGAGCTCCAGCTGTGTCACTGCCCCGTCTGTGCTGGTCCTGTACGAGAGGCGGTACCCAGACACACGGCCGCGACTCAGCTTATGAGACAGAGTCTGCCATGATACCTGGATATCAGAGGGACTGCGGCTGGTGAGGCTCAACTCAGGAGCACGCAAGGGAACTGAGCCAGAGAGAGAGGAAAACAAGAAACAACATTTACTTCATGACATTCAGTACTTACGAACATCACGGACCCATTAGCAAACCCACAAAGCAGCCATAACAGACCTCATTTACATATAGAATTTTAAAAAAAAGTACAAAAATAATGATTAGCATTATGAGTGGATCTCAGGCAAAATACAGTTATATAATCTATACAACGATATAATGTTGCATCTTTTTTAAAGGCTCACTCAGCTCGATCGTAAGTAAAATGGTGTGAATGGGTGCCGTCAGAATGAGAGTCCAAACAGCTGATAAAAACATCACAATAATCCATAAGTAATCCACAGCACTCCAGTCCATCAGTTAACATCTGGAGAAGCCAAAAGCTGCGTGTTTGAAAGAAACAAATCCATCATTAAGGCATTTAAACCCATCCATAAGTCCATAATTCATAGTAACACTTTCTCCAGTGAAAAAGTGGTCTGGTCTGAATCAGGAGAGAAATCTGCACAGATCAAGCTCTGTTTACAAGCCAAAACAGCTCTAAACAAATATGTGGGAGGATTTTGATGTGAGAGACAACAGGAGATGAACTTTATCACTGGAGGAAGCGTTATTATGGATTATGGAGTTGTATTTTAGCCGGAAGCAACTGTTTGAAGTTAAAAACATCTTTATGATGGATTTGTTTCTTACAAACACACATAGCTTTTGTCTTCTCTAGATGTTAACTGATGGACTGGAGTGCTGTGGATTATTGTGATGTTTTTATCAGCTGTTTGGACTCTCATTCTGACGGCACCCATTCACTGCAGAGCATCCATTGCTGAGACACTGATGCAATGCTACATTTCTCCAAATCTGTTCCCAGGAAGAAACATTTCAATTTAAATTTTTGGATGAACTATTCCTTTAATAGAACACAAATAGGTTTGAATGTCTGATCCTCATCCTCTACTCACCGTCCTCGAGTGTGCGCTGTATGACATGGTCAGACATGCGGCTGGCACCCATGGGCATGTACGCTACGATGTAAAAGGTGTAGTTCCGCCCGGCCTCCAGGTCATCAATGATGTAGCGGGTAGTATCGTTACCGATAACAATCTGGTACTCTTCGTTATTTAGACCTGTTGGGACACAACAAGACTTAATGTTTCACAATGCTGGAAAGCATGACCAATTCAACTACATTGCAATGTTTACAATGCCAAGATCTTGGGTTTGATTCCTAGGAAAAGTATGAACTGATAAAATGCATATTTTGAATGCAATGTAAGTCGCTTTGAATAAAAGCATCTGCCAAATGCATAAATGTTTTATGCATTAAATGCATACTAACAATGCATGGATACTAAATGAAAAAAAAAATGATGTAGAATTTACTCTGAAACCAGTTTTACTCAGAAATTGCTAGCATAGTTCACACAATTAAAAAGAAATGCCAATTACCACATTGAATTAAACAAGAATTTTTAAGACTAAAATGGCATTTTCTTTAAAACTTACTCTAATAATCTTGTATTCTTTTTTTTACAGTGCAGAGGAAAATTTTATTGTCCGAAATGCATGCTCCTTACCCTTCATAACTCAAAATGCATGAAGTCTTTAACTACTAGTCTGTGTGGCTATTCAAAACCAGTGCCAGAATAAAAAGAAACTTGTCAACTCAATCAACATGGCCATGCCTTCTTTTAATTAACCGCATCATCAATGTAACTAAAGGACAATTCCACCTGCTGGTTTTCCCACAAGTCCACTGCACCTGATAACACTTTAATTAGGCCACATTAAGATGCTCAAATAAAAGAAACACTCTACAGCATTGAGTCCCCAACTGAATTTCTGACCCAATAAACAAGATACTCGACAGTCAACAGAAAAGGCCTTGTTCTGGTGCTGAATGGCCACGCTGAAGACTTTGACTCTGACGCAGAGACAAACCCCCCAAAGCCTCTTCAGAGTTAGATTAAGACACTCCAACACTCGGGATAATTAGCCCCATTTTGCAGCCCTTTCAATCATTTCCGATGCTTTTTGCCCTCCAGAGCACATGCAGTGTGTATTCTTTCTCTACAGCTATTCTTCTCCCACTAAATGGCCTGGAATTCTGGAAGTCCAAGTGTAACCGGCAAAATCCCTAATAAAGATTTCACACTTGTCAGAACAGTTCCTGTTGGATGTCTCATTGTTTTCTCTTCCTTGTCTCCTCACAAGCAGGCAGGTGTTTTATTTGGACGTCTTTCACAGAAGCTGAAAGAATGTCAATGCTTTTAATTTGATGATTCTTGACATTTTCGTCCAGAAGTGACTTTTTTTAACGACAGAAACTGCTCAAAGAATACTCAACTACCAACTCTAACTGTCATGAACAGAGTGAGAGCCTTTCCCACACAAAGTCATGAATATTTCTAAATTAAAGGAATAGTTCACCCAAGAATGAAAATTTGCTGAAAATGTGCTCACCCTCAGGCCATGGAAGATTAGGATGAGTTTGTTTCTTCATCAGATTTGTAAACAATGGATCTCTGCACTGAATAGGTGCCGTCAGAATGAGAGTTCAAACAGCTGATAAAAACATCACAGTAATCCACAAGTAATCCACACCACTCCAGTCCATCGGTTAACATCTTGTGAAGACAAAAGTTGCATGTTTGCAAGAAACAAATCTATCATTAAGACCTTTTAACTTTAAATCTGGCCTAAAAGTCCATAAAGTCCATCTCTTGTTGTCTCTCATATTAAAATCCATCCATATATTTGTTTGAGACTGTTCTGGCTTGTAAACGGTGCTTGATCTGTGCAGACTTCTCTTCTGATTCAGAAGAGACACTGGAGGAAGCGTTATGAATAATGGACTTTTATTTCCCAAATGTGTGTATTTTGTGTGTCCCAAATACACACACACACACTGTCACTTTAATCAGTCTAAATAAGCTCTTTTTGCACTACAATCATTATATCTGCACTGTTGTTTACTTTACTGGTTTGCACTCTATCTGCCATGTGCCGTGTGCTGCTTTATATATATTTTTTTATACTTTTTTTTTTATTTATTTTTTTACATTTTACCTTATTTGTATATTTGTATAGTTGTATTTTATATTTAATCTGTATATCTGTATTTATGTTCTACTGTTAGTGTTATCTGTATGCACCAAGGGTCTGAGAGTAACGCAATTTCAATTCTCTGTGTGTATGTGCTGTACATGTGGAAGAATTGACAATAAAGCAGGCTTGACTTGACTTATTTCAGCCGGAAGCAATGTGTTGAAGTTAAAATGTCTCAATGGATTTGTTTCTTACAAACACGCAGCTTTTGGCTTCACAAGACATTAACTGATGGACTGGAGTGTTGTGGATTACTTGTGGATTATTGTGATGTTTTTATCAGCTGTTTGGACTCTCATTCTGACGGCACCCATTCACTGCAGATCATCCATTGCTGAGACACTGATGCAATGCTACATTTCTCCAAATCTGATGAAGAAACAAACTCATCTACATGGCCTGAGGGTGAGGGCATTTAAATTTTTTGGTGAACTATTCCTTTAATTGGGCTCTTGTGCATTTTCACCACTGTCCGCTCCACATTTCTTCATTTATATCTGAGATGCTCACCTTCTGCCTTCATGTAGTGCACAGAGTAGGCGATGACTTTGTCTGAGTTGTACATGGGTCTCTCCCAGGCCAGTAGGATGGCTGAGCTGGACACGGTGTCCGAGCGGATGTTTCTGGGCGCGCTCGGCCGGTTGTCCGACATCACTACGATCAGACGAGCCATGGCCAGAACCGAACCCTGCTCATTCTCCGCCTGACACTGGTATATGCCGTCATCTTCCGGAATGATCTGGTTAATCACCAGTTTACTGTGAACAACAAGAGTTTTTCATTATGAAAAAAAAAAACTTTGTTCACATCCTGTTTGCCTCAAGACATTGATATACTCACATCTCACAAAACCTGGTAATATTGCATGTCAAATTCTAAAGTATGAAAAAATAAATTATTTTTGCATGAATAAGATAAAAAGAAATTTGCACTATTTAAAAAAAAACTAAGCGCATCTTACTACCATATTCTCATTATAGTGCTATATTTAAATATATAAAACATTTGATAAACATCGTTATATTATATTACTAAGAATTGAATAAGACCCACCATGGAGAATAACAAAAACTACTATAAACAAAACTGAAACATCAGGATGCATTATATTATATTATATTATTAGAATATTATTATTAGATTAGCATTATCGTCACAAAAATTAAGGACATTTTACTACCTCATTATTATTAGTGAATCTGGGGTAAAATGTGACTAATTTTCTTTATTTAAAAAAAGATATATATTATTTTTATATGATATAACTTTAAAAATATGTTTTGTAACATCAATATTTTGTTTTGTAACTTGAATATTTGTTGATGCAGGAACTGCAGGAATAAACCTAGACCTATATATATGTGACCCTGGACCACAAAACCAGTCATAAGGGTAAATTTATGGCTGAATAAATAAGCTTTCCATTGATGTATGGTTTGTTAGGATAGGACAATATTTGGCCAAGATACAACTATTTGAAAATCTGGAATCTGAGGGTGCAAAAAAATCTAAATATTGAGAAAATCGTCTTTAAAGTTGTCCAAATGAAGTCCTTAGCAATGCATATTACTAATCAAAAATTAAGTTTTGATATATTTACAGTAGGAAATTTACAAAATATCTTCATGGAACATGATCTTTACTTAATATCCTAATGATTTTTGACATAAAAGAAAAATCAATCATTTTGACCCATACAATGTATTGTTGGCTATTGCTACAAATATACCCCAGCGACTTAAGACTGCTTTTGTGCTCCAGGCTCACATATTTAACATGCATGTTTAACGTGTGTATGTTGAGGTGGAAACAAGCACGTCGATAGCACTAGACCAGCTCACCCCCCCTCCCCCTCCCCTTTTGCTTTTAGGATCCCATGACAAACCCAGACAGGAAAACAAATTAGAGGAAAATCAAAGAGAAAATCAGCTCAAACACCATTAGCAGAGCACTGAATAATTAACCCTCTCTTGTTCCACAGAAGAAACCAGCTGATGAATATTTCAGCAGGACAGGGTTTCCAGCAGACAAATGAGCCAATTCAAACCCAGAGAAATGTCAGCGTAGTGCTCAAAATATAAACTTTAACTCAAATTAAAGAGAGACATAAATAAATGCAATGGGTTTTGGCTTTAGGGCAGCAGCGTCTACAGCTACAGCCTACAGCTTTAAACGTGTACAGCTTTAGATTAAGACGGCTGTTTTGAGGTGCAATAAACAATTTAAGCAGATGCAAATCTTCCAAGAGACACATTTATTGTTTTAACCCATGCATGTTCTCGAATGCAATGATTCACTGATGTTTTCCACATGGCAGCACCTGTTATACATCTTGACGCGTCCATTCGAGTGAACGGGTTCACCGTTCTTCAGCCATGTGATCTGAGGCGTCGGAAACCCCTCTGCCACACATACGAAGCGGGCGGTACCAGCCCTCGGCCGGGTCACGCTTTCCGGCCATTCCACGAGAGACGGCGGCGCTGCATGAAAATAAATGCACAGATGCATTTATTAAATGCATGCATTTGTGCAATCTAAAACAAATGTTTTCTTTTTTATTAAGGCCATAACAACAGTAATGGAAAAAGAATATGCTCACAGGGTTTCTGCAGGTTTTATAAAGGTACATTTTTAAGAAATAAAAATGAAAAATTAAGGAATAAATTGATGGGAACACAATATGTCAATATGGTATATACAGTAATTGTAAATGTCTTGTATTAGCAATACTTCAAATTTTGAAAATACAACTTTGTACCTATCTCCATTACTTTTTCATTAATTTTACAAAAATAAATAAATAATAATAATAGCTTAAGGCTTGAATAGCTCTATGGAAATAACTTTTACAGTATCTTCTAATCACACTGCAAAAAAGTGCATTTTTGTCTTGTTTTCCAGAGCAAATGTCTGAAGATTCTTAAATCAAGACACATTTACATGAGATGCAAAATGACAGAAGATTAGAAGTCGTTTTCTAAGAAATTGATCAGAATGAAGTTAGTTTATGATTAAAACAAGAACAAATATCTACTAATGTGCATCAAATTAATGCAAACAGGAAAGCAATTTTCTTTGGTTTTAACACTTCATTTTGTTCAAGTATAATTTTTTTTCAGTGCATGCAACATTAAATGCCATGCATTTGAATTGAAGACTCTGCTCTGATTTAACACTTTTTTAAGGAACTTTAAATTGTGGAAAGGTGAAATAAGACTTTTTAAGACCCGCAGAAACCCTGTGTTCACTTACTCTACCTAGCACAGTTATATTAGCGGCTGCAATCGTGTAGTTTCTGGTTCCCGGCGTAGTTGCGCGGCAAAAGTAGATCCCAGCGTGCTGGGGTTTCACGTCGGATATGAGCAGGTTTCCATTGCCAAGAACCTTTGTTTTGTGAACGTCAATGGATTTATGGTCGGCGCGGCTCCATGAGATCAGCGGACGAGGATTTCCGGTCGCCATGCACTCCAGCAGAGCCGTGCTGTGTACCGCCACGGTCAGATTCTGCGGACCGGCGGTGATACGAGGCCTTTGAGGAACTCTGGGAGATGGAGCTGTTGAGAAGTATAAAGAGAGTGAATGAAAATGACACATATACATATGGTAGTATGCTTAAATACTACTCTTATGATCTAGATCTAGACCTGCGTTCACGGTTAGCTCGGCCTCGGAGCTCCTGCGGCGGCTGGCTATATTAGTCGCCACACAGCGGTAACTCCCAGCATCAGCCTGTTCGACTCCCTGAATCTGTAAAACGCCGCTGGGCAGCACTGTGATTCTGGATAGACACGCAAACATTCACTTAATACAATTTAGATATTCAGAAAGTGACAATATACACACTTATACAATATATATAACATATAATATATAACATATGATATATAACAATATACACTACCGTACAAAAGTTTCAAGCCAGTACATATTTCTTTATTTCTTTTTTTGAATGAAATTAACATTTGTATTCAGCAAGGATGTGTTAAATTGAGAAAAAGTGATAGTAAAGACACTGTAAATTTTTAGAAAATCATTGTTAGATTTCTATTTCGAATACATGCTGTTCCTTTTCAACTTTTTATTCATCAAAAAATTCTGAACAAAGTATCACGTTCCAAAAAAATTAAGCAGCACAACTGTTTTCAACATTGATAATAAATCAGAATGATTTCTGAAGGATCATGTGACACTGAAGACTGGAAAAATTATGCTGAAAATACAGCTTTGATCACAGAAATAAATTATATTTTAAAGTATAATAAAATAGCAAACCGTTCTTTTAAATTGTAATAATATTTCACAATATCATTATTATTTTTAATCAAATAAATGTAGACTTGATGAGAGCTTCTTCTGACTTCTTTACAAAACATTAAAAATCATTCTGATCCAAAACTTTTGAATGTCAGT